TAAAAATTAAAAAAATAATTTTACAATTAAAAAAAACAAAAAGCATATTAAATTATTAATTAAAACAAAATGGATATTAAAAAAAAATTAAAAAAAAAATCTTCCTTAAAATAGGCTACAAATTTTTTATTTAAAAAAACGATCTAAAAGTAGGCAACAAAATTTTCAAAAAAAAATTTTTGCTTTACAAAATAGTTTCTATTGAGGCAGCTATAAAAAATAATTAAGTTATAGAAACTAATTTGCAAAGAAAATATTTTTTTCAGTAAAATTTTTAAAAAAAATCGACCTAAAAGTAGGCAACAAAATTTAAAAATTTGAACCGATTTTCACGAAACTTTGCACACATCATTCTAGACCTAATTCATTATGCTGTGCCAAATTTCGTGGAAATCGAAAGATGTTAAGGGCCCTTGGTACACAATTTACCTTAAATCGGACGAAAATATATATGGGAGCTATATCTAAATCTGATCCGATTTTCAGGAAACTTAACACACATTATTCTAGACCTTATTCATTACGCTGTGCCAAATTTCGTGCAAATCGAAAAATATACAGGGACTTTGGTACACCATTTTCCTTAAATCGGGCTAAGCGATATATGGGAGCTGTATATAAATCTGACCGATTTTCACGAAACTTTGCACAAATCATTCTAGACCTTATTCATTACGCTGTGCCAAATTTCGTGCAAATCGAAATATGTTAAGGGACTTTGGTGCACCATTTACATTATATCGGACGAAAATATATATGGGAGTTATATCTAAAGCTGGACCGATTTTCAGGAAGCTTAACACACATCATTCTAGACTTAATTCAGTATGCTATACCAAATTTCGTGGAAATCAAAACATATATAGGGACTTTGGTACACAATTTACCTTAACTTGGACGAAAATATATACCGAAGCTATATCTAAATCTGAACCGATTTTCACGAAATTTAACACACATCATACTAGACCTTATTCATTACGCTGTGCCAAATTTCGTGCAATTCGAAAGATGTATAGAGACTTTGGTACACCATTTACCTGAACCGATTTTTCCCAATTTCGTCCTTGAGCCAAATAATTTTTTCAAAAATTTTCTGAAAGGTAAAAAAAGTCGAATAAAAAATTATAGGCTAAAAAATTTTGAAATTGGAAAATAAAAATAATTCTGGACCAAGCGTAAATGAACTCCCATGTCCTTAGCTGAGTAAATCGTATTTAAAAAATTTTTTTTTTGGAAAAAAATGTTTTGTCCATGGAACCCCTTCAGGCATTGGTTACTTTGGTGACTGGACAAAAATTTGTATTGCATCGAGAGAAAAAAAAACCCCGGCATATTGGCAATTTGTAGAAAATTTTTGCCAGGGGAACAACCTGCTCTCTCCGAAGTGCAGCTGCACCAATGAGGTTTATATGTAGTTGTTGGTTTTGTTATTCTTTTTTGTGGACTCTTGGTTGTTGTTCTTGCCTTTGCAATCATCAGAAAGTTCAGTCAAGCGTCAAACAAAAATGTTGCTAGTTAAAATTGCATACCAAGTTTTTTTTTTGATTTTCTGTTGATTTTTTTTCCGAAAAAAGTGTATGTGTGTGTGTGTGTTTGTGTGAGTGCCAAAAATACCAAACATAACCAATCAATCGAGAATCAAACAGGACAGCCAGCCCAGCCAGTCCAACCAACCGGCCATCGAACTAACCAACCAATCAGTCAGTCAGTCAGGCTGTGCAGTCATTCACCCAACCAACCAGTCAGCCACCCAGCCAGTCATTCAGTCAGTCAGTTGACTGGCTACAAAGTCAAAGTGGGTGAATTTGAGTGCTTTGACTTTATTGTTTGACTTGCTGTTTGATTTTTTCCTCTGTGCACTAAATATTGGCATTTCATTATTGTAAATGAAATCTCTAACTTTTGGGGCATATACATAGAGACATAGGCACATACACAACACAAACTCACACATATACACACACACTCACTCACATGGACATTTTGTAACAGCTATATTTATATTGGGCCAACACTCAACACAACACAACAACAACATCTATGTTTATATTACAGATTGATCTTTGTTGGTATAGAAAGTTGAGAGTTATGTATGTTAGTGTGTGTGTAACTTTGATTGCAATGGTAGTGGTAAACTGGGCAACTAATGTATTTTTCCTGTATGAAATATTGTGGCTGTTGTTGTTGTTATTATTGCTGTTATGTTACTGTTGATGTAGTGGTCGCCAAATATTGACATACTACTTGAAATTGACAGCAATTGCAATACTTGGAAACACACACACACACAGGGACACATATATACACAAAAATAAGCACACACATACATAAACTCAAATGTGTATTTGTGTGTATGTGCTCAGATTTAATTTTGTAGTTAATTTAATTTTTATTCAATAAATTTATTTTTTTTTAATTTCCCAACAATTTTTATTTTCTTATTAAATATAAAATATTTTCGATTATTTATTAAAGCCTACTTAAGGGCGTTTAAATTCGATTTTTTGTTTGCAATTTCTAATTACTTATTAATTTAGTTGTAATAATTTTGAGCCATGTATGTGTGTGTGAATATTTTAATAGAATTTACTTAGTCATCTATATGTTTGCATATAAAAGTGTTAATTTCATAATTTTTATAGCATACCCTAAGGGGCAAAATATTAAAATTTCATTTCATTTGTGAATTAGCCTTTGATGACATCTGTTATGCAAACAATTTGCTAATTCATGCACACAGCACAAACAAAAAATTTGCACAGTTAATTAGGTGGACCAATGGAAAGGATGGAGGAGGGGGAAGGGGGGAATGGGAAGAGGGAAATCAAGAAGAAGGAGGTGAGAAGGCTTGGGGTGAGAAGCAAGAAGCTTAAAGAGCTAAATGGAAATCGAATGGAGGCAAAAAATTGGGAAAAATATCTATTTAAATAGGTTGTAAATTTTTTAAAGGTTGAATTATTTTTTTTCTATCATTGTAAAGCATACTTTTAGGCAACATTCAATTTTTTTAAAATTTATTTTTTGTTAATTTTTTTAATTGATATTTTAGTAATGAATTTATAGTATTTTAGCAGATTTATGAAATAAATATTTTTTGAAGTTTTATAACAAAAAAAAATTTAATTTTTGTAGCATATTTTTAGGCAGTTGAAAATTTTAACTATTTTATTGTTATACATATAAAATTTTGTATTCTATTAATAAATAAATGAAATTAGGGCAGATTTACAAAAAAAATATTTTTGAAATTTTTTAAAATAAAATTTAATTTTTGTAGCAGACTTTTAGGCAGTTGAAAAAAATAAATTGTTTGCTTTTCCTTCAACATTAACAAAATTATTAATTAAAATATTAAAAAACTAATTTTTACAAATTTGTATTCTTGCAAAAAATGAAAAAAAATATTTTTCAAATTTGCAGCATATTTTTAGGCGTTAAAATAATTTTTTGATCAGAAATATATTGTTTTGGAATATATATTTTTTTGGATTTCAAAATATTCTAAAAAATCATGGAAAAAAAATTGTCTAATTTTTTTTGGAATTATGCAGCATACTTTTAGGCACAATAAAATATAATTTTTATAATAATGATAAATATTAATTGGCAAACTATTTTTATATTTAGAAATTAATTCTCTGGATTAAAAAAAAATAATCCAAAAATTCAAGAAAACCCTAAACCAAATGTTTTTAATAACTGCCTATATTTTTTTCGAATTTTACAGCATACTTTTAGGCACAATAAAATATATTTTTTAATATCGATTACTATTATTGGCAAACTATAAAAAATAAAAAAACATTTTTTTAATAATTAAGTACAAAATTTAATTAAAAACAGTTAATAAAAAATTGTAGCATATTTTTAGGCATTAGAAATTCCTTTTGTGTTTAGAAATATATTTTTTGGGAATATATATACATTTTTTATTACAAAATATTCTAAAGAATCATGGAAGACCTGAACCAAATGCTTTTAATTATTGCCTATATTTTTTTTGAATTTTTAAAGCATACTTTTAGGCACAATAAAATATATTTTTTTAATAATGATTAATATTATTTGGCAAGCTATTATAAAAAGTAAAAAAATAATTTTTTAATTTAATAATAAATTTAAATAATTAAAGCTAATAAAAAATTTGTAGCATATTTTTAGGCGTTAAAAATTCTGTTTGTAATTACAAATAATTTAAAAAAAAAAAAACTCATAGAAGATCTCAACGAAAAGTTTTAAAAAACATTTCTACATACCTTTTTGACAAATTGCAGCATACTTTTAGGCACAAGAAAATATATTTTTTATAGTAATGATTATTATTAGTTGAAAAACTGTTATAAAAGAATTGTTTATTTAATAATAAATGTAATAAATTAAGTTAATAATAAATTAAAAAAATCAAAATTTTGCAGCATACTTTTAGGCATTCGAAAAATATTTTAATGTTTGATTAAATTTTTTGGTTACAAAATATTTAAAAAAAATCGTTGAAGCCCCTAACCAAATGCTATTAAAAAATGTCTGTGATTTTTTAATATTTTAAAGCATACTTTTAGGCAATATAAAATATTTTTAAAACAATTATTAATTATATTTGTCAAACTATTATAACAAATCCAAAAATACAATTTTTCAATTTAATAATAAATTAAATAATTAATGTTAATAATAAATTAAAAAAATTAAAAATTTTGCAACATACTTGTTGGCGTTTGAAGTATATTTTTATTTTCCAATTACATTATTTGGTTTAAAAATATTTAAAAAAATCGTTAAAAATCCAAACCATATGCTTTTAAAAATTGCCTAAGTTTTTTTAATCTTTTAGGCAATATAGAATATTTTTAACATTTGAAGCATACTTTTAGGCGTTCGAAAAATATTTTTTTGTATTTTAAATTATATATTTTTATTTATTTCTAACCCCTATCTAAATATTCTCATTATACTCACATTGTTTTTTTTTCTCCCCTTCCTCTTTCTCTCCTTTTTAGGCTTCCTTCTCGAAGGAGTTACGCCTACGGCACCACCAGATGTACCACCTAGAAATCCCACAATGAGTCGCATGAATAATGGTCGTTTAGTCGCAGCCAATCCAAATGATTTGGGTGTCGATTTTGAGCCATCATGTCTGGTGCGTACACCCTCGGGCAACGTATACATTCCCAGCGGTAATTTAAGTAAGTAAACAAGATATTTTTTCATTTTTTCACAATATTGTTTTTCTCAATATTTTTTTTGGGAGTCATTTAGAAATAGAAATCGAAGTTAAAGGGAAATCAATATTTTTTTATTCCTGTTCTGTTTTGTTTTGGACAAATAAATTTTTTTCTACTAAACGCCAATGGCTACTTCTATGCAAAATATTTGCCAGCAATTTTACAATTTGAATGTTTTTTATTCTCTGATAGCCCTGTGGGTAACTCTCTCCCTCTCTCTGGACAACAATAACAACAAATCAATAAGAATTTCCATATAAATTCTGTTTTTTTGTTGTTATATTTTCTATTTTTCTATTGAACAATTCTTTTGAGTTTCCATTTTCCCCCGAAAACAAATGCATGTGATTTTCGCCCAATTTTCCATACATAGCCTAAAAGTATGCACATAAAAAAACATTTATGTTGTTTTGAATATTTTTGTTACAGGCAGGGGGAGGCATAGAAAAATATTTGCACAGACACACATAAATAGAAACATTTTGAAAAGGTGTTACTTTAATTGGAATAAAATATTTTTTACAAAAAGGCTTAAATGCAGTGCATACTTTTAGGGGGAGGGGAAAATAAAATAATTCCTACAATGGCTATGGGTATTAAAAAACTATATAAAAGCCTAGGAAGCTTTAAAAAATAATACTATGGTGCATACTTTTAGGATTCTAACTGTAAAATAAATTCCAGTGCCTACTTTTAGGCTAACAGAAAAAATATTTTTTATATTTTTTAATTTTAAATTCTACATTTTCAAATCATTTCATATGTGATTTTCACCCTCTACAAAAAAACAACATTCATCCTTGGACCTTTGATGTCAGGTTTTTTCTTCCCCTCAATGTCCTAGACAACAACCACTCACCCACACACACACAGCCACATATATTATGCGCATAATTTACAAAGAAATATGGCACATATGTTGGTTGGGATATTCTTCATTAGGTTTCCTTTTTTTGCAGTTTTCTCCTCTTCGTCCCCGCCTTTCCCCTACTTTCCCTCTCATTTTTTCTCTGTAAAACTTTTGTGTAAACTTTATGATTTTCCTATTTGGATTCTTCGGAGGAAATCCTTTTTTCTCATCGCCTTCTTCTCCGTTTTGGCTTCTCACTACATATCTACTATTATTATTATTGTTTTGGGGCACAAACCCACACACTCTCCCACATAGGAAGAAAGAAAAAATAGAGGCCAGATTTGCAGGAAAAAAAAGGTCAGCGGCAAATGAAAAGAAACCTTGTATAATTTGTGGCAACTTTTCGATTGTTGTTGTTGTTTGTTTGCTGGAGATAAGGGCACAATTTAGTTTTGAGGCCAAATGGAAATATGAAATGAAAGTTGGTTTTTGTTGTTGTTGTTCATATGAGAAGACGATTGCAGGAAAATTAAAACATATCTTGTGGGGGTTTATCTATCAAAGGGAAATCATTAAGATCATGTAGGGAACAAAGAATTGCAGAAGGTCAAAAATGTGTTGTTCTTGAGGCTGAAAGGGAATGTAAATGCCTTTGAAAAATAGCAAAACAACAAAATTGTATTGCCTACTTTTAGGCAATTTAAAATTGATGATTGAAAATGAAAAATTTTCAAAAAAAAAGTTCAAAGGGAAAAATTTCCCCAAAAAAATTAAAAAGGGGGAAAATTTTCCCCAAAATTAATTTCTTTAAAAATCATAATGAAATCATTTGAGAATCGTAATTTTTCATAATTGATGTCTAAAACTTGAAATTTCCAAAAAAAAGTCTTAAGGGAAATTTTTCCCCAAAAAAATTAAAAAGGGAAATTTTTCCCCAACACTTCTACTATTGTAAAAGTCATATTTTTCATTTCAGATTCATAATTTTTCACAATTGATGATTAAAAATGAACAATTTTCAAAAAATGTTCAAAGGGAAATTTTCCCCAAAAAAATTAAAAAGGGGAAAAATTTCACCAAATACAATTTACTTAAAAATCGTAATAAAACCATTTGAGAATCGTAATTTTTCACAAATGATGTCTAAAAATTTTAGTTTCAAAAAAAAAATCTTAAGTGAAAATTTTCCCCAAAATTTTTTTAAAGGGGAAAATTTTCCCCATAATAAATATGTCCCAAAAAGTCATAATTTTCATTTTAGAATCGCAATTTCTCATAATTGATGATCAAAAAGTGAAATTTTTAAATAAAAAAAATTGAGGGAAAAATTTCCCCAAAAATATGTTAAAGGGGAAATTTTCCCCACAATATATATGTCCCTAAAAGTCACAATTTTCATTTCAGAATCATAATTTTTCACAATAGATATCTAAAACTTGAAATTTCCAAAAAAAAAATCCTAGGGGAAAATTTTCCCCAAAAATATCACAAAGGGGAAAATTTTCCCTAGAATAAATATGTCTCTAAAACTCATAATTTTTATATTTAGAATTATAATTTTTCACAATTGATGTCTAAAAATTGAAATTTTCAAAAAAATCTTTAGGGAAAAATTTCCCCAAAAAATAGCTTAAAGGGGAAATTTTTCCCCAGAATAAATATGTCCCAAAAATTCATCATTTTCATTTCAGAATCGTTATTTTTTCATAATTGATCATTAAAAATTAAAATTTCCAAAAAAAAAAATCTGAAGGGAAAATTTTCCCCAAAAATATCTTAAAGGGGAAAATTTTCCCCAGAATAAATATGTCTCAAAAAGTCATAATTTTCATTATAGAAAAATTTTGCCTATGTAAATAGTTTCCCAAAAAGTCATAATTTTCATTTCAGAATCATAATTTTTCCCAATTGATAACTAAAAATTTAAATTTCCAAAAAAAAAGTCTTAAGGGAAAAATTTCCCCAGAAATATATAAAGAGGGGTGAAAATTTTCCCCAGAATAAATATGTTCCAAAAAGTCATAATTTTCATTTCGGAATCATAATTTTTCCCAATTGATGACTAAAAATTGAAATTTCCAAACAAAAGTCTGAAGGGAAAAATTTCCCCAAAAATATCTTAAAGGGGAAAATTTTCCCCAGAATAAATATGTCCCAAAAAGTCCTAATTTTCATTATAGAAAAATTTTGTTTTAGTTTCCCAAAAAGTCATAATTTTCATTTCAGAATCATAATTCTTCACAATTAATGTCTAAAAATTGAAATTTCCAAAAAAAAAAAAAGTCTTAAGGGAAAAATTTCCCCAGAAATATATAAAGAGGGGTGAAAATTTTCCCCAGAATAAATATGCCCCAAAAAGTCATAATTTTCATTTGAGAATCATAATTTTTCTCAATTGATGTCTAAAAATTGAAATTTCCAAAAAAAAAAGTCTGAAGGGAAAATTTTTCCCAAAAATATCATAAAGGGGAAAAATTTCCCCAGAAAAAATATTTCCATAAAAATCATAATTTTCATTCTAGAATCATAATTTATGATAAAAAATTTTAGTTTTTAAATAAAAAAATTCCCCTATCCCGAGAAATATTTTGAGGGGAAAAATTCCCGCAAAAATATAATTTTACCACAAAGTCATTATTTTCATTTGAGAGTCGTAATTGTAAGGATTTTTTTCTCCATTTTTTTTTTGCATTAATTATGATCAATACGATTCTGAAATGAAAAGAAAAATACTATTTTGGGAATATTTATTTATTTATTTATTATTTTTTTTTTTTGAAAATTTTTCCCTTTTAAACGACGGTATAATTTGTTTTCGTCATAAAAAAGGGAAAGTGAAATATTTTTACTAACCATAAAATTTCCCAAAAAAGTCCACACAATAATTTTCTGAGTCATAGTTTGATGATGGTTGATGATTGTAGATTTCAATCTCTCGAAAAAAATCACCAAAGGGAAAAATTTCACCCAAAATATATTAATAGGGTAAATATTCGCCATTTTCGAAATTTCACTAAAGCATCAAAGTTTTATTTTCTTACAACAAAATTGTCATAGTTGACGCTAAAAATTAAAACATAAGTTCAAAAATGTCAATAGGGAAAATTTTCCCCACAATTTTTCGAAAAGTGAAAATTTTCCCCACAAGTTTCGAAAAGTGAAAAATTTCCCTGAAATGGTTTTTTATTAAAAAAAAAAACAAAAATTTCGTTTTTGGTGGAAAAAATTAATTTTTTAAAGAAAATGTCAAAGGGAAACATTTTCCCCATAATTTTTTTGAAAAGGGAAAATTTTCCCCAAAAAAGATTTTTTTCAAAAAATACCTCAATTTTTAGTTTTCTCATTAAAAATAATTAATTTATAATAAAAAAATATTCCAAAGCGAAAATTTGTTTTCGAAGGGAAAAATTTCCCCATAATTTTTCGAAAAGGGAAAAATTTCCCCAAATTTTTTATTTCAAAAAATACCACAATTTTTAATTTTTTTCATTAAAAAACAATTAATTTATAATAAAAAAAATATTCCAAAGGCAAAAATTTCCACCAAATTTATTTATTTTCCCCAAATAATAATTTAATAGTATTTTAATTTTAAATACTAACATTTAAATTTAACTTATATTATAAATGATAAAGCCTAGAAGGCTTTAACTTTTATAAATACCAACAACATATCAAGGCATATCCGAAAGGCATTATTTGATTTTTCACCACACGCACACACATAAAAACAAAAATAAGTCACTCTCAAATTATCTGCTGGTTTTTTACCTATTAAACAAAATCAAATATATATTTGATAAATTAAAGGTTTTTTGGTTGCCGATTTTTTTTATTAATTTTTTCCAAACTTCATCATTGATTGATTGCAAAAGTCCAGCACAAACGAAAAACAAGCACAACTTCAATCATAACTTCATTGTCCATATTTATATATATATTTTTTCGTTGTATTGCGCCAAAAAATTCCAACCATTTATTTAAATTAAATTTAATGTACAATAATAACAGCAATACAACAACAACAAATACATATCAAACATTTATTGTACATTTGCTGTTAATATCAATAAAAATGCAATGTGAAAATAAAAGAGAAAAACAAACT